AACTGGCGAGGAGGACGGGGAGGGGAGTTCGACGGCGGGCCTGAGGGCGTCGGTCGGGCGGTGGAGTTGGAGTTCGGGTGGAGGCGAGCGGGTTGTCGTTGATAGAGGAAAGTGAAGAGAGAGAGAGAGAGAGAGAGCTGTTGTGTTTCTTGGAGAGAGTGAGGGAGAGTTAAAGAGAGAGAGTGAAGAAGAGATGATGATTGATGAGCTGGTGATATGAGAGAGAGAGAGAGAGTGAGTGAGTGAGAGAGAGGGAGAGTACGTGTGAGTGATTGGTTAAGTGAGAGAGAGAGAAAAAGATAGATTGAGGGAGATTGGAGAGAGAGTAAAAACGACGGAGAATTTAATGAGAGGGATTGTGCGGGATATGGTGGTTGGGAGGACGTGGGTTGAGAGCTGGGGGGAAACACGAGGCGGAGGGGTTTGCATGAATTGGGGAGAGGTATACAGAGTGAACACCGGTGAGAGAAAAACACAGGGAAAAATACCCCTTTAAATAATTTAAAAAATATCATAAAATTTATTTAAAATAAATATTAAAATTTATGGTCAAAATAAGAATAACAATAACAATGATGAATAATTAACTATTTATTTAAAAATTTTACCAAAACAATTAAATTTATAATTAGCAAAACTTATTAAAATAACATAATATCGTATTTTTAAATCGTAGAAAATTCTAGAGAAATTGGGAAAAATACAAATACTCTTTTAGAAAAATAATATTTAATATTTAAATACCAGAATATTATTTAAACCCGTATTAGAAATTTACGGTCATTACATGCGATATCTCCTCCGTCGGGTCGCTCTCCACCTGATGAGAGCTGGGAAGCTTCAAGATAGAAGCTTCATCAAACGTGACGTCCCTACTCAGTACAATCTTCTTATCAACTGGATCCCAAAGCTTGTATCCCTTGACACCACGCTTGAATCCTACAAATATGGCCTTCCTAGCTCGAGGTTCCAATTTATCAGTTCTAACATGATAATATGCAGGGCACCCGAATACCTTGAGCTGGTCATAATCGTGTGCTGGCTTTCCCGACCACTTCTCCATAGGGGTTTTCCCCTCAATCGCAGATGAAGACAACCTATTATTGAGGTGGCTCACATATGTAAGTGCCTCAGCCCAAAAGATTTTCTCCAAACCACTCTGCGACAATAAGCATCGGATCTTCTCCAGTAAAGACCGATTCAACCTCTCTGCCACCCCATTTTGCTGCGGTGTATGACTAACTGTGAAGTGTCTCTCTATGCCCTCGTCTCGACATAACTGCTGAAAGGGGTCAGAAGTATACTCACCACCGTTATCGGATCGTAACGTCTTGATCTTTCTCCCAGTCTGCAGTTCCATTCTCTTCTTTCACTCCACAAACAAATCTAGGACTTCACTCTTCTTCGTCATGGTGTACACCCAACAACGCCTAGAATAGTCATCTATAAAAGTGACGAACCAATGTCGACCACCAAGTGATGCAGTCTTAGTGGGACCCCAAACTTCTGTGTGCACTTAGTCCAGGATGCCTCTCATCTGATGAATGGCAGTCCCGAACTTTACCTTCGTCTTCTTGCCAAGAACACAGTGCTCACTGAACTCAATCTTTCCACTCTTGGCTTCCTTCAATAGCCCCTGCTTGCACAATGTCTGTAGTGACTTTTCACCTGTGTGCCCCAACCTATAGTGTCAAAGTCTGCTCATGTCCGCTTCTGAAATAGCCAAAACAACCTGGCCAATCTCGGTGCTTCCCTTCAGATAATACAAATTTCGATTGCGGACTCCCCTCATCACCACCAATGATCCCTTAGTAACCTTCGCTACAGCGTTTTCGAAAGTCACCTTGAATCCCTTCGCCTCCAAAGCTCCAACTGAGATAAGATTTTTCTTCAGTTGAGGAACAAATCTCACCTCCTTCAACTCACGGACTACTCCATCGTGCATCCTAATCCGCACGGTACCTATCCCACAAACGCCACAGGATTGATCATTTCCCATGACAACAACACCCCCGTCGACTTTCTCAAAAGATGCAAACCAGTCTCGCCTAGGGGTCACATGAAAAGTACTGTCGGAATCAAGCATCCAATCTGATACATCCACATGGTTCACCTCCGGAGTAATCAGTAGAGAAAAGCACGAATCATCGAAATCATCGCTTTTCGCAATATTCACCCCATTGGCCTTCGGGCCCTTTTTCTTGCCATTCTCTTTCTCCTTGAGCTTTGGGCAGTCTCTCTTCCAATGTCCCTGCTCCTTGCAGAATGCACATTGGTTCTTTGCTAATTGGTGGCGATTTCTTGACTTTGACCTTCCTCTATTACCACCTTTCGGATATGGGCTTCTACCTCTCGTCGACAAGGCCTCGCCTGAAGTGCTAGCACGGGAAGTCTCATTGTCCTTCTTCCTCAAATCGTAATTGGTCAATGCGTTAGTCACTTCACTATAGCTGATAGAAGATCTCCCGTTCAACAAAGTGAGCACGAAGGTATCATACTCCTCATCCGGTAAGGAGCCCAACAAAATAATCGCCTTGTACTCATCCGATATCTTCTCATCAACATTCGCCAAGTCCGACAACAACTTAGTGTAGTTGTTCACATGAGCCGCTAGCGAGGTGCCTCTGGACATCTGAAATCTGAAGAGTCTTCGCAGCAAGTGCAACCTGTTCTCAACGCTCTTTGTGAGATACTTGTTGTTGAGAATTTCCCACATCTTCATTGCAGACGTCACCCCAATCACATCATATTTCAGTTCCTGTTCCAAACAGGACCTGATCACCCCACAAGCGTTCCTATTCATTTTCTCCCATACCGCCTCTTCATATTTAGGTGGCCTCTCGTGGACCATGATGGTCTCTTCCAAATTCTGAGCATTGAGCGCATCCTGTACGTCGCTCATCCACAAACCAAAGTTGATTTTGTCGTCATACTTCACCACACTAATTTTAGTGTTCTGAAAACCAACTTGTATTGTACCCGCCATCGATTTGCTGCTTTCACCTTCTTCTCCCATTGCAAACTAACTCCAAATTGTAGAGAGAGAACAAATTTGACAGAATTAGGAACCACCCAACTGAATCCTAGATCGGATTCTAAATTGATCTCCTATCCACACGAGGAAAGCGAAATCTCCAATGGCAACTCCTAATGTTATCTCCACCGAAGCCTAGAACTCCAAGAACCAAGCTTCACACAAAATCTTCCTCCACAAAAAAAAACCTAGATCTGAAATCTGGGCTCTGATACCACTTGTTGCGCGCAGCGGAAATTTCGGCAGCACTTCGGCAGCACAACAAGAGAGTCAGGTCGCAATAAGAATTATTGTTTCTCAAAGGGAACAAGAATTTGAAGCCTAATATCTCATCAAAGTGGGATATTAGCTCTTCCTCTCGTCAGCTCTAGGACTGCGCGTCGAGGGAACCTAAAAGCTATTACAAATCACACAAATAGCAGTACAACCAATTTTTACGTGGTTCGGCAAATTGCCTACGTCCACGGGGCAAGGAGGGGGGAGATCCACTAATAGAGGGAGAGAATACAAATAGGGTTTATAATTACTCTCAAACTAAACCCTCAAACAAACTCTCAAATCCCTCACAAAATCTCTCTCAAAAAGGATGCACAAAAAAAAAACCCTAAAAGAAAAGCCTCTTCTTTTCTTTTCTTTTGCACCTTCTCTGTAGCCGCAAAGAAATTCGCAGCCGCCAAAACTTCACGCGCTCCCGAAAACCTCCTGCACAACCCCAGGAACAATATTTGTTCCTTTATATAACCGGAGAATCATGCGGTTTGTGGCCAAAAAATGAACTTGGGCTCACGCGGAAAAGCCCACGAACTCTATTCTCTCACTCGTAAACGAATTCATGGGTGGCCCCCACACCCACGTGATCACAATTTACTCCTATGGTGCAACCTTTAACTTGACAAGAAGATAAAATGAAAAATATTGAATATCAACAAATTATTGTCTTGGAAATCTTGTAATCTGAGGAACTAAGAAAATGCTTTCTACAGTTTACTATATATAGAGTTTAAATATCATAATAGCTGATGTATTCATGATTCAAGGGGTCAGGTCCACATCTGTTTATTTATAATTTTATACTGGAGATTAAACTATTGCTGCCTTTGCTCTTTCTGGGATTGTATTCCGTAAGGATCATGATATGAGTGTGATTATATACAAGCACTTTTGAATACTTTATACTTCTAAAGTGATTACGTTATTCTAGAGTGCTAATATCTCAGCCTGGTTTGAGTATCTGCAGGACGCTGAAACATAATTGAGAGATCCACTACGAAAAAAACGACTAATCCAGAGAGATGACACGGCAGCGAAATCTTCTGGTATGGAAACTGGGAATAACTAACTACTCCACTGCTCTCAAACTCCAACAACATCTAGCATCTGAAAGAAAACTCGGTAAAATTCCAGATACCATCTTGTCTCTTCAACACCCGCCAACATATACACTTGGGAAGCGAAGAACCAGTAACAATCTACTAATCCCTGAGTCTGATCTCAAATCCGTCGGTGCTGAGCTTCACTACACTGAAAGAGGAGGGGATATAACATTCCATGGTCCTCGTCAAGCTGTACTATACCCCATTATTTCCCTTAGGGATATTGGCTTTGGTGCCAGAAAATACGTCGAAGCCCTTGAATCAACAATGATAGACTTAGCGTCTGTATACAACGTCAAAGCACAGAGAGGAATGAAATGTGAGACCGGCGTTTGGGTTGGAGATAGAAAGATTGGTGCAGTTGGTGTTAGGATATCTTCAGGTGTTACGTCCCATGGATTGGCTTTCAATATTGATCCTGATTTGAGCTATTTTAAGCATATTGTGCCTTGTGGGATTGAAGGCAAGGAAGTAACTTCCTTGAGAAAGGAGGCGGAAGTGGAGATTCTTGATGATGAGGTGATACATGAGCAACTTATTCAGTGCTTTGCTAAATTGTTGCGTTACACTGATGTTCAATGGAGACAGGATATGTCGATGTTGTTTACTGATTATGAAGTCGATTGAGAGGAAATTGTATTTGCCGTGTGCATTTGTGTTGTTATCCCTGGAAATTCTTGTTGTGGAAAAATCTAATGCTAATTGCTTTTATGATGAAGGGTTTTCTATTGTATTTTTGAGTACTTTTTTGAATTCTTAGGAAGTATGAATTGAATGATGATGAAATTCTCTGCAGATGGTGCTATTCTTATGAAGTACATTAATTAAAGTGGGGCTTAGTGTTAATGATACAATTATTTATTTGTGTTACAAGAGCATGGTCACCAAAAGCGTTTGTAGTCCAACGGTTAGGATAATTGCCTTCCAAGCAATAGACCCGGGTTCGACTCCCGGCAAACGCAATACGTTTTCATTTTTCCACAGAAACAATTGAAGATATTATTTTTGTTTTTCAGTACCTTATAAGTTTGCCTCTCCTTTATTATCATCATAATCATGAATTATAGAACAGAAAACTCTATGTAGAGCGAACATTTCATTAAACTTCGCTTTTCTGACTTCGATTTATGGGTATATATTCTTGTTAAGTTTACACTCAGATTCAAACAAAGTGAGGGAATTTTGTGATCTAAATGAGCGAATAAATTATATCAAAAAATAACAAAAATTAAATAGATAGAGCAAATAAATGATTCGAAGGTAAAATGATAATATAACAAGAGGTTGAATTTGGAATAAGTTTATCAATTAGATGACTTAATAACAATTGCAACGATTTGGGGAACTAAATTAAAAAATATAAAAAATTTAAAAGATCCGATATCTGAAAAACCATAATATAATTAAAATTGAGTTGGATTACTATTAATAGTATCCAACATGTTAGTAGCATCAACCCCACTTTGAAACTCACAACTCAATATAAAAAATCTAAATCGGTGGATGTGATTTACTACATATGAACCATTTATAACAAAATTCTAAAGGACTTCGATGTGTTTTGAATCGCGTATCAATATCAATAGACGAAATAATTAAACAACTTTATCAGAATTCTAAAACATTGATTTTGACGACATTTTATGTATGGGTTAATGATGTTGAAATCTTATTGATATTTTATTTATAGATAATTCATGTGTAGTAGATCACATTCACTAGTTTGGATTTTTATTCTCATATTTCGATTTTTAAGATTGGCTTGAAGTATCCTGGTGTTGAACACTTATAATAGTAGCCTAGCTCAACTCATATAATTATACTTTGCTCAACTTCGTCTTCTAGCAGAGCACGGGAAAAGAAAACTTCGGCATTAGTGAAAAAAAATCTCCTTAATCATTAATTAGTTTGCATGCCTAATTTTTGCGCTGATGAAAAAGGAAAATTAAGAAAATATTTATTAAAAAAACGGATAATAGGAAATAAGGTTATTGTACCACAAGGTTCTACACTGTTTTTATACTCCCACTAACAACAATGTGGAGTCTTTTCTCAGAATTTGTAAAGAAAAAAAATTATGAGTCACTATGGCGCCCACTAGGGTTGCACTCGGTCCGGATATGGTTCGGGTATGATACTTATCATATCGATATCTGCTTACCCATCACAGATACGGACACGGATACAGATATACCTTGGTAAGAAAAATTCATAACCATATTCGCTAAAATCGAATACGGTTACAGATATACATGCGGATATGCATACGGATAAAAAACAGATATGATAAAACTAGATAGTACGGAGGAAAACATAGTTCATGTGATACAAAAAGAGTTCGTTAATATGTTCATTATAATAGAAAAGTTAAGACTAGACATCTTGATCATCAAAATTAATCACAAATCCATAATCTAATAATCGAAACTATCGTAAGAGTATGACTAATATGTATTCAGATATTTCGGATGCGGATACAGATATTTCACTACATAACCATATCCGTAAACATATCTTATCGGTTATAGATTTGAGTAACCATATCCGTATCCTAACGGATACGGTTACAGATATTTCCTCGAATACGGATACGGTT